TTTAATTATTTATACCATTTGAAATATTAGTGCTGAGAAATCCCTAAAAGTTTTTTGGTTCTGTAATGGTGTGATCTAAAGTTTGATTTTCTTTTGTGAATAACAGAAGTAATTTGATATACTAATCAAGGACAGATGAATACTTCAGACATCACAATGCAGTTATAATAGTACTGACATCTATTTTTCATCTTTCCAGACTCCTTGTATAAGTTAAAATACAGCTCATTAAGTACTGTAGGATCTCTCAGTGAACAATTTAGCATTATGTTTCCTTTCTTCTGCCAGCAGCCTGAGCAAGAAACTTGTTTCCATCAAAGGCAGAGGGCATTTAGGCAGTATTCAATGTCTGAGTGCAGCCTAGGGCAGATTTGCCCTTGGATGGGGGTCAAGCAATCTCCTCTGCCTTACTTGCATCACTCATTGTATTCACAAGACTGACCTTGTCTCTCTGAAACAATTATTTTTTGTACAGAAGAATTTCTGTGAGGACCTATGGAAAGATTTTGATAGCAGGCAGATCAAAGCAGGGCATTTTAAAAAAACTCAGCACCTTGAAGTTCAGTTCTTCCTCTGACTCCTGTTTTTTACTCCCAACATCCACCCAAAGCCAGAGTGATGGAGCTCACCCTGCCTGGCCAGGGTATGAGCATGCTTGAGCTCCCATCCCTGCCACTTGAGCCTTGTCCAGAACATGTAAGAGTCAGGAATACTTCCACTGGCTTCAGTGGTGGTTTGTACCCCCCCAGAGTCCAGGGGATTAAACCCCTAGGCATCAGTCACTCCTAGGTTCAGCACTCAAGAAGCATTTGAGCATTTGTTCTCCCATGTATTTGTTCTCCCACGTATTGGAAAAAAATTTCAAATTTCTGACTGTCCATATCTTTCTATTTTCTTCACCCATCCTTCTGCCCTGAGCTGCAATTTCTCTGACATTACATGATCAGAGCAATTGCATGCATCTCTATCAATTACACTGAATTTCTCTTTCATAAGGTAAGTTTCTACTCTTATTTTTCCCTCATCTTCAGAAATTTTCCCTTTTCTTCTACCAACCTGATAGCTGTTCAGAAGCTGCCAAGATGTATTTGGCTCTTGTATTTACTCCAGATGGAGACTTTTATTTTCACTCATATCTGGCAGTAGGAACTGTGGTATCACCAAACACAACTTTTCTCTGAGATTGTTTTGAAAGAAGAAAAGAACCGTTCCTTTTGCAGATGGTTTATAAGTTACTTCTGATGGCAGATAATATAGCCTAGCCTGGATCCTTAAAGATCAACAAGACTCACAATAGCCGTAAATACTTGGATTTTTCTGCTTTATATCCCCTCAGGAATAACCATCTGGATATTTATCCTTTAGTAGTCTAGGATTATTGTTTAAAAGTAAAGCTAGAAAATATCTGGAATGAAATCTGTGGTTCTACACTGAGCAGGGATAAATGCAGCCACTCTTATCTCCACCATATCTGTCCTGTGTGCATAGATATGTCTGTAACCAGTTAATGTTTCCTGAGAAGCATTGAGAACCAGTCTTAAGGCTCTAAATAGGCAGAAATGCTTCTACTGATTTCATTTCACAGAACTAGGTCAAGCCAAATAGCTGCTCTGCTGTGGCTAGAGGGAAGCCAGGGTGCTGCATGGATGGGTGTAGGTGAGGAACCCAATGCCACACCCAGCTCTGCCACTGGGCCAACTTACAGGACGAGAGTATTCAAAGCTCTGCAATTATTTCTGCACAAGGAGGAGCAATCTTCAGAGTATCAAATCTCTTGTGGGGCTGACCTAAGCCTCTTCCTTATTTTTCTCCATCTGAAAAAATAAACTGCTTCTTTTCCTCCTTTCCATTTTACTTTGGAATATCCATTTGGAAATTTAAGGCAATATGATATCCTGGAAATGGGCTCTCAGATTAGACACTCTTCCTGGTTGTTTTTCCAGCATTCTACATGTATTCATCTTTGTTACTTCTTTGCTTCCGTGAGTTTCACTGGCATCCTTTTAGGCAATGGAATCAAGACAAAAAAATGTTCGCCTGACTTATTTTAGCTAAGAGGCTTCATATTTAATGGATTTGCTGTTCTTTAACGTCCCAGGTCACTCCCTGAGATCAGCAAATACTGAATTTCTTATCGCCCTAATATGTTATCTGAAGTCATGTCGTTATTTCGCCTTTAGTGAGTCTCTTTGCTCTCTGGCTTTGGAACCCACTGCCAAATGAAGTAAAGAAAGCTTTGACTATGGGGAATTTCTAAATCCAAAGTTAAAAGTTATTTGTTCTGTTTAGCATTTTTAAAATTATTCTTTTAGGAATTGTATGTGCCTCTGAGCTAATTAACTCTTAATGAGCGCAAAATGCCCTGGGATGCAGATTTGGACGGTACAGTAGAAATGCAGACATGGATTGGACTGCAGTACTGCAGCAGATGACATTTACAATTTGATTCTTTTTTAAATGATGGTGCAGATATTTTTATTGAGATACACTTCCCCCCACCCCCCCCCTCTTTCTAGTCTAAATAAAGCTGATCAAATTTTCAGTCCACCATATGGGGCCCAGTTATATCAGTTCTGCAAATACACTTTAGTTTTTCATTATGGATGAAGTCACTCTTCAGCAGGGAAAACAAGTTGAGAAACAAACTTTCATTTTATGAAAGACAGGCAGTGTTCCAGCGCTGAGCACTTAACCAGAGCATCAGGAAATCAGAACACCTGGCTGTGCCCAGCTCTGTGCTATTCCCCTGGACCAGTCCCTCACCCTTTTAGTGCCTTCACTCATTCATCTGTAAAGCAACTGTAATTGCGTTTATATCACAAGGGTGCCTTGATGCTTGGCAAATGAGAATTGACCCAAAATTCATCCTTCAGAAGCACTGTATGAGCAGTACCTTGCTCACATGGTAATTGCGGACAATTAGATTAGAAGAGGTATAAATGCAGTGAAAGTGAAATTCCATTTAGGAACTGTCAAACTGTTCTTGATCATTTTTCTTTGTTTTCATCTAATTCTAGTGTGGAATTTTGCATGCATCTCCCAAAAAGGCTTTATCTGCCTCTTTTCTTCTTCTGCAACAAGACAGCATATTTTATTCCGTGTTATATTAAACTGTATTTTGGGCAAATGGTTTGTTCCCAGAACAGTACCTTGGAAATCTAGGTTTAAGGAAACAAAGAAAAATTATTGTGCCAAAGAAATCTTATTCTTTATGTATTTTAGCAAATTGCAATCACTTACAAGGATTGTACACAGAAAAAAATATTCCAGGTTTATGAATAGGGGTTTGCCTAAGTGTTGTTATGTTTTATTTAATTAGGGGTTTTTTTTATATTTACCATAATAATGTTCTAAAATTAAGCTGAATTTCCACAACAAACTGTAGAAACATATGGTGTACAGCCTGCAGAGGCACTTAATGGCAGCAGCATTACTGATATTTGTGAGTTAGAACCTGCTTTCCTCTGAGAAATAGCTGTGTGTTCTCCCAGTTTAAAACTGTTTACATCAACCTTTTTTCATTGCAATTAACAATTTGGGGAGGAAAAGAATGAATGGGATCTTCTTAAATACATTTCCTTATTTCCACGTGGCTGTGGATATTTCAGGGTGAGGAAAGTTGTGTATCAGACTCAGCCTCTCCTCCATGTGTGTCATGAACACAATGAAACAAAGTGGATTAAAGGGGGCCTGCTTCACCAGGACCTCCTCCAGGTAGCATATCCCAACACCAGAAGAAAAAAGTGGAATTGTTGTTTGGTTGAGCCACTTTTCCTAACAAAGGTACAATCCCTTGGGGCTAACCAGATTTCAGGATGCCAGGAGGTCTCTGTCAGCATCCCAGAGAAAGCTCCATCTCCCAGGAACTGCTTCCAGAACTGCTGTAACTGCTACAGCTTGGGTCACTAAAAGAAATCATGTGTCTGAAAAAAAAATCCTTTGGATGTTACTTCTTTATGTTCAGACTTGCAAAGCACTTTAACAACTCATGCTCACAAAGAGTGTTCCACTGACTTATCTCTAATGTATGCTTGAGAGGCTCAGTGCAAAACAAAATGCAGAGATTAATTAAATTAAAAGATACCAAACATTGCAGCAGGGAATCATTCCAAGTCATGGTGTTCTCAGGAGCACCAGAGCTGGTTTAGGTTCATGCTCACCCATGCAGAGTCTGCAGAATTCACTTTTTAGACCTTTTTAATGTTCTCTGTTTTAGTAACCAGGCTCCCAAACTCTCCCTGGTGATTGGACTCATTCATACCTGAGGGTTCTGACCACAAACTCTCCAGTGCCCAGCCCATGGGAAAATCTGACCTTTCAAAAAATATGCCATGCTCAGGAAGAGACATGGCAGACCAGTCCCTCCCAGAGCGCTGCACACCCATGCACTGCAAGCAACATTTTTGGCAGGATATGCAAGCAGAGATTCCAAATCATACTGTCAAGACAGAAGCAGGACAGATCATGGTGCTCCTCTGGCAGATTCCTGAGCTGATTGCTTTGCCTTAGTAGCTGTGAGTCATTAAAAGCTCACTTTGGATGCAGAAATAGGTGGATGTACTGATTAACCAGGCTTCAACTCAGCTCTCAGTCTTCAGTGGGCTAATGGAAATTTTCTCTGGGCTCATAGAAATAAATGGTTTTGTAGGACACAGGTCCACCAGTTTATTTTACTGTAATAAAGTGCTTTAAGTTCCTGTGAACTGGTCATTAACCAAAGTCTTAAGAGACTGGAAAAAGGTTCAGCCTCTAAAATCTTCTCCCTTTACTTCCAGTCCTAGTCAATCTGGATCTCTAGGCTTTCATGCAGTTAATTTTGCTATTGCTGAGGATGATGTAGGAATCTGAAGGAGGGATACTCATTTTATCTTTGCTCAGATAGGTGCTGTTTAATTCTAAAGTGCACCTCTCCACAGCTGACATCAGGTGACCAATCTGCACAAATGCCCAAGTTCCTCAGTCAAAGAAGTAAAAAAATTCTTTCTGACTGTCTCTTTCAGGATTTTGCTGACTCCATATACCAAATGGTTGCACAGAAGTTCCAGGAGCTGACAGACAATTTCACTTCCATGCATGCACGCCACAAAACTCTTGCAGGCATTGTGATGACCAAAGGTAAGATATCCTCTCATTTATTTTCCTCTGGCATTTTTCATGACTAAGTATTACATTATTTACCTGGTTCACAATACTGAAGGATGACTTTACTCCCACACAGAAAAATGAATAGTTATGCAGTGAAAAGAAGCATTAAATATTTACACCTCAAGTAAGTTCACACAAAAAATATTGGCAACAGAGTTGAAGATTTATTCATAAATATGTCGCTACATTTCTTTGTTTACAGGACAAAATGCAGCCCTCTCTGATTTTTCATTTCCTTACAGATGGGGGAGAGAGTTAGTTATCAATAAAAGTAGTATTATTTATTAATTACTTTTTTAGGTCTGAATACACCAAGTTCTTGTTATATGACATAAACTTTGTTTTAGACTGGCAACAGAAAAAAATAAAAAACAGAATATGTGTAATTTTAGTTCTGCTCTTCTCTAGCCATGGGAAATACTCACACTTACCAGCAGGGAAAAAATTTGGTATTCACTCATGTTAAGACTTGACTGATTGACACATTCTGTGTTGAAATCCTCAGTGCTTTGATGAAACAGTAGCATAGATGGTCCTTCTCTGCAAGCACCCCTCAGGTGGGGCACCTCAGTATTTATGAGAATGTCAGCAGTGGAGATGCCTCCATAAACGTTATTCTCTCTCTGACACATGGAGCAGTGGGTCCAGTACAGAAATGAGAAGAGAAGCTAGGAGGGGAAAGCCATATATAATTCATCCAGGCTTGCCTCACTCCTTCCTTTCAACAATTGCATTAGCTAGATTCAGTAGGGACAGTTGTGAATATTGCAAGACAGCAGGATGGAGACGGGATTTTCTGATGGATCTTTTCCAACCACAGAGCCTAAATGCAGATAAGATTTCTGTGCTGAGCATCTCCTTTCTGATGTGAAAAGAATAAGTAACCATATTCAGTATGAAGGAAAATAAAAAGGAAGTGTGATTGACTTTGGGATGTGAAAGATGCACACTAGACCCAGCATACCAGCTGCCTTGTCATTGTCAGATTTCTTGACTGTGGCTCTCATCAGATTTAAACAAAGTGCTACAGTTTATTTAGATGAGCTCTTTCCAAGCAGAAGCACAAGGAAGAATGTTTAAATATACTTTTTATAAGAAACTAAGCTACAGGAGCCAAGAACTATTGTTTTAACCACATGTAGGGGGAAAGCACAGGGAAAGTTACTCAATGTAAGAAATGTAAGAAATGCCTGTAGGAATTTCATCCCATTCTACTTTGCCAAGGAGCTACTCCTACATTCTTTAGCCCAGGTCTAGATCAGCTTTATAAAGCATGATAGAGCCACCTCAGCTTTATTTCCACATGTCCAAAGAAGCACATTTAAGACCCACAATATACGAGAAGAACAGTGACTGGAAGGAGTCATAATTCCCAAAGCTATGGCTGCTGAGTGCATGCAGTTCTAGGGGAAGAAAAGGGCACTGTCTATGTCTCTTCTTTAAGGAAGGGCTGAAAGTGCCCTTATGCTGTTTGTTTCTTTTGGTGGGTCCCATGCCCTTAGTGGGATTTTACAAATTTGTGTTTCATGTTTCATCTTAGTCAGCATTAGGACAAAGTATAATTTTACTTATGTTCACAAACTATTTCCCTCAAGGCTTCTTTTTCAATTCTGAATTCCCTCCCATGAATTTGTTCAATCTGTCAGCCATCCAATTTGTCAATATCTCACTGGTTTTTTTGGAACCCAGAAAAGAAACTTGCAGATATAAGGTGATTCACAGAAGATGCAAAGCTATAAACAGCCTTATCTTAGTATATTCTCCAGGAAGATTTGAGTTCTCTCCAGCACAAGAATTTCAGCCAACCAAGGCAAGATGAATCATCTGTCATTTGTGTCATTATTTTCTGTACTAAAGTTGTAGGTTTGTGGTCTCTTCTTCACCATCATTCCCAGCAGTAGCAAGGACATCGACACACTGTTCAAAGATGGCACAGGCAGGTTTTCCACATCAAGCACTCAAATGAATTCCCTGTGTTTTTAACAAAAAAAATTTGGCAGAAGCTCTCTTAGATCTCTGCAAACAATTTACTAATGACATAAACAAAAACAAATCTGGAAATGCCTTGTTGCATTTGGTACCATAACTGACAAAAACTGATTTGTTTTTACCTTCATTTCAATTTACTGTCATCCTGACTAGAGGCAGATTTATCTGTGCTTGTACAGTTTCCAGGCAAAGCTGCTAAAAAGCACAATGGGATTCTGTGATAACTGCTGTTAAGATAATGCAAGATCTCTGCAGACAAAAAAGAAGTGTGCTAGATTGGTTTTCTTTTTCTGAACTCTTGACATTTTTTCTGTCATTTCAATTTCCCAGGGAAACCAAAGAGAATTACGTTTGGCCACTGTAATTGACTTATGCTGTAGCACCCGGGGCAAATTCCAATGTGTAAGAAAGAAAAAAATGTGGAAAATTGTGTTATTGACAGACTGAGAATGTTCTACAGTAATAAATTGCTAGTCAGTGAAACAGGCAGTCCAAAGCATTTAGAAATGCCTTGCTCTGAATTGTGATGGCAATTAAAATCTCCATGTTTTTTTGTGAAAGTAAGTTTAGCTGTTTAGCAGACATCAAGATAATCTTAAAAATATGGGCCTAGGCAGGAGCAATTTACCACACTAGATACCAGCTGATGTGATCTTATCTGGTGTAATACAATAATTTAATATAATAATAACTAAAAAACTCACATAACTGATCTTGGACTAAATGTTTCAAAAGACTGAAGAGTTTAAGTAAATTATTTAATAGCTACAATATATACTGTTATCATGTATTAGGAATCTGCTAGTCCTCTAACATATTCTAATTTTGTTGAAACTCAGAGAAGATTGTTCTCTCAAAAATGGTTTGATCAATTCTAAGAAAAATTATTTAACAAGTAAAGTCTTCCTCATACAGCAAGCTATAATCCAGAGACTATAGAGATGATCTTCAAGTAGAACAATAAGTATACTTATTATTGTAGCATAATATTTATACGAGGACCTATGCTTTACTGCACATTGACTCTCCACAGCAGATCTGCTGATTTCTCTGAAGATATGATGAATTCACACATGGTAAATTAAGAACATCAGCTCACCTGTGGAAAAGACATTCTGGATAACACCATGTCAAACACAAGGCATCGGCTCAGAACTTGCATCATGTGATGCAAGTTGACTTCCCTCATCATATTTTGCATTAGTGGCTAAAACACAGTAGATAACACAACATTTTGGCTATTTGCTTGCAAAGTACCAAGACTATCTCTCTCTCCTATCCCCAGCAAGTGAACTGGAGGTGAGCAAGAGGCTGAGAGGGGACATAGCCAGGACAGGTGTCCTCAGTTGATGGAGGGAGTATTTCTTGCCATAGGACACTGTGCTCAGCACTAAAAATCTGGGGAGAGGGAAAGGGGGAGATAACTGGGTTTATGGCATTTGTCTTGCCAAGTAGCCATGAACTATCATTATATCAATGCATTAGTCTTGCCTTCCTTCTGTTTCTTCCCAGTCCCACTGCAGAGTGGAATGAGCGAGAGGCTGTGTGGGTGTTTGGCTCTTGGCCAGGATCAACCAATATTTCATTTCAACAGCAGCTGTTCCTTGATGTTTCTTGTTGTCAGGGAAAGAAGACCCATCAGCTCCCCATCCTTCTGTCTCTCGGGTGCAATTTGGACATCTTATTTTGACTCACTGGTCTGCTGTATCTTTCTACTGAAATTTTTTTTTCAGAGAGAAGTAGTTCTCAATATTGTGGTTGTTATTGTTATGTCAGTTGATACATTTGAAAAAAATGAAGGGCAAGCAAGCTATTATTTTCTAACACGAGGTGACAAATGCAAACCCAGAGCACTCTCACATACATACCTTGGGCCCAATGCCCAGAGTCACAGATTGTGGGGTGACAGGAGGAGCCCCTGTGGTCCCCCCATGGGTCACCAGGCAGGACAGCTGACAGGGCATTGAGGGGACAGTGTGACAGTGCTGCCTGTCCCCCAGAGCTGGGAGGGAGGAAGCCCCAGGCCAGGGCAGAGCAGGGTGGGAGATGTGAGCCTCACACTGAGTGCTGTGATCTGAAGGCTGGTGGCATTCACAGTGTTTATTGGCATCACAGAGAGAGTTTGGCTTTTGCTCTGCCTGAAATCGTCAGGCATGGTAAAGAATTCCTGTCACTCCGTAAAGAGATGATCTATTACTGCTGAGGTCCTCTGCAAAAAAACCCTGCCATAATCATTAGGGACAAAATGAAACTGCTATTTAAACACAATTTTCCCATTTGTGTTTGACAAATCTTAGTAGTTTAAATACTGATAGGAACTTTTTGTCATGCTTTCTGTTTAAAATGAAGCATTAAGAAAGTTCAGTCCTTTTCACGGCAGTGTAACATTCATAGAAAAAGATTATGAGTTGATTCCTCGCTTCAATTTTCTCTCTTCTATATGTATATTTTTTTTAAGGCTGACAATCATTTTGATGTTAAAAGCAAATTAGGAGGTCTTCTCAGTTATCTTGTGAGAAATAAAGATGAACTGGACAAAAGAGCCCTAAATAGAAATTTCATGCTGTGATAAAAGATGGGAAATTATCATCCGTATCTCATGGAATGGGTCTTAATCATTGCTAAGTGGAGTAACAAAAAGAAGTAGTTAACAATATGTCTCCATGATTCTTTGCAGTCACATTAAGATTCACAAAGCCTGGCAGTACAATCAGAAATAAGTACAATCAGAAATGCTGCTGTCCAATTGATTTCTAATCCTCAGTATGAGTAGGAAAGTTGCAAAGCAGTAGAATGCAGTAGAATATTCAGGCCATATGTGGAGTACCAATCTGCTCCATCCCATGCTGCACTCGAGTAGCCAAACCAGTAGGAGAAAATGTGAACAATTTACACATTAGTGTCCCTAGCAAATTCCTTCAGAAAGAGAGGCACAGAAGGAATTTAGGCTCCCAGATCCCATTTACATAGTTACATTGATG